CGCCTGCAGAGAAAACAATGCACATAACAACCGTCGTATTACGTTTGTCCACTTCGCACCTGTTTTGGTAAGCTCCTCCCGCTGCTTCGTCCTAGCTCTGTAGGTGTGAGGGGGTCTGCGGTCTGGGGAATACGGCCATGTATGATCCCCCCCGTTTCCTCGTGTGTACGTGTGGAACACATGTGGCGGAACCGTAAAGATCCCTCGGTTCGTTGTTGGCAGTGCCCCTTCTAGGGGATGGTCCGTGTCGAGAGTAGAGCNTGGCGGAACCGTAAAGATCCCTCGGTTCGTTGTTGGCAGTGCCCCTTCTAGGGGATGGTCCGTGTCGAGAGTAGAGCCTAGTTCATGGCCTATTTCCTGGGACCAACAACGTCTGTAGACCCCCCCTGCGTGTCGTGTGTGCGGTACAAACACCCCAACTCCAACATGCTCTTGACAGGAAAACGCTCACAAGAGAGGCTAGAGGGCGGTGGCAATGGACCACCGAGGTTGCGGCGGCACCCGCCTAAGGTCCGGCCGGACATACAACGGAGCCTTCACCGGGGACGTCAGGCTGGCCGTCAGTCACGTGAGAAATAGGTGAGGGAGGTGAGGGGAGGGGAGGCACACCGACGCTCAAGAGCCGGCGGACGCAAAGGGGGGGGGAGAACGGTGAATTCTCGACCATGGCATCCAGTATCGACGGCAAAGAAGGGGCTGTGTCTCCAACAGAGCCGTACGGCCATGGATAGGGGAGGGGGTCCGGCGGTTGTGTCAGCTGCATCCACCGAAGGGGGGGGGGGGGGGGGNTTTTCATGGCTCTCGCGGCTGGCGTGACATGTTGACATCGCGACTCCGTCCGTCAGAGGGGAATGGAGCACGATGAAGATGACAAGGCGCCAGGTTGTGAACGGCCTATAATTGTGAAATCAGAGAGAGTCCGCCGCCTTTTCGCTAAAGATGGCGGGCTTCTTTTTCAAGAATCCCTTTTATTCGGCCCGATCCCATGAAGCGTTTATACACCTGGCTGAATACTTCGTTGTTTTCCAGACCTTTCGCGTATCATCACGGTTTTCTCTCTATAGAATCCCTTCAAGACAGCTGCACACGATATGATACCGCGCCAAACAGTAACAATCACTCACCTCAACGAAAATCGCCACCCCAACAAAAGATACCCAGAGGCACCGTTGTACGCGATCGGGTACTCCCTCGGGGCGAACCTGTTGGTCAAGTACCTCGGCGAGGAGGGGCGGAACGGCTTCCGTCCCCTGGCCGGGGCCGTGTCCGTGTCCAACCCCTGGAACTTCGAGGACAACACGATGGCGAGCGGTCGGGCGAAGGGGCTCGTCGCCGCGGTGATGGGAGGTGTACTCCTTGGCCGTGGCCACCGGTGTAAAGGTAACGCCTGTTGCTTTTTTTTTTTTTCGTGGAAAATCGCAAGGGAGTCATCTCTACTCACAGATTAGAGGGTCCGGGATACGTTAGTATTGAAGACATAAAGCGTTCTATTTTTTTTTTCGAGCAGGTGGGGGTCTATACTTCGTACACGTCTGTTTGTCGAGGAGAGGGCCTGACCAGCTGAAGGAGTGATCAAGGTAGCAACCACGTAGCTTCTTTTGTGTTTGTTTGTTCGTCATTGGGGGCGGGCGGGCTCGCTAGGTTCTTTCTTCAGTCGGCGCATGTGGGCCCCGTTTTTGCTAGTGCTGGTGCTGGGCGCCAGCACTGTTGGGTACAGCTTGTTCTGTTGAGTGCACATGGTGTCGTTGGTGCTTCTACCCCGGCTGTGTGAACCGTTTCCCGTCCGTCGTGGCTTGATAAACACGTGGAAGGCTCGTCTGCGCCGCTCGTGAAAGTTATTTTCTCGAGGTGGTCATTTCATCGCCGTTATCGTTGTACCACAAATACGGCTGACTTGACGTGTTTCGTTCAGATATTTGGCAACCCCACCTGTGGCGACTACAGTACTGGGCCCTTTATAGTACCGGTATGTGTCCAGATCGTTCACCGGCACTAACTCGGGCCACCGGCACTAATGCTAATAGTGCCAAGAGGGTACTAGTACCAAAAGGGCACTATTCAGGTTTCGAACTACCCTCGTTAGCGCCGGTCCGGCACTATTGAGGGCGTGCTTGATTTCATGGTGTGGCGCTCACGCTTTGCGGGGTAACAGAGTTCAAAATTGATCGAAATTTGTCAAGTGGTAGCGTGGGCGTGGGCAGACTTTCTCGCGACACGTGTGGTTCCACCCTGTCGAACACAGAGTTTTTTTATTATCATTACTTGTTGCACAGTTTATTTCTGCCCTCCTCAGCACACGTCTTGCGCAGCGTGGATGTTGAGCGAACGCTTCCAAAACGTCTGTACTCTGTACCGCACTACATGCTCTGTACCGCTCTGCCCATCTTTCGAAGAGATGTACCAAACAGCTGCCCAATGTTTTTAGGGCAAGAAAGCTGTGGCATTGCCCTCACATGGATCACACCATTTCGGGCAACCTGGCAGCACTAATCGACGGCGATAGGCAGACACACATCATGCACCCGATTAGCCTTTTGACGGCAAAAATATATTCCACTTGTGAAAAAATTTGAACGAAGCTCAATCTCATCACTCCTCTTTGCCCTCCTTCGATGTTCCAAGATAAGAAAGAAAAAAAGACGAAACACGACAGGATGCGCACTGCAAGAAAATAAAACAGCCATTACTACTACACCGCAACAACTCCGCCCTCACAACGCCGCGACATATTCTCTCATGTCTGCCTGGCACACCCGCTTAGCGGACTGCGCTGCGTTCATCGCCATCTTTGCTTTCGCCAGGTAGAGCACCTTCAGGGTGTGGCATGGTGTGCCTCTGTGTACAGTTGTTATGGTCTGCAGCATCACGTGTACCCTAGTTTCTCTGTTTGGAGTCTGTCTTCTGCCTGTCTGTTGTCTCTAGGTGTGTGTGTCTCTAGGTGCGTGTTTATCTTAATTGCGGGGGTCGACCGCTAACAGGCTGACCAATGAAAAGACGCCTGTCTTCGTGCGGTTGAAAACACAAAACACTTGTAGATGCCATTAACTGGTGTGTGAGCGCGCGTGAACGGGCACTATCGCGGGGGTACAACGGCGCCCAACCGGCATAATATCGGGCCCGCTCTTTTTAGTGCCATCTGGCACTATATCGGGCTGCCTCTGTGTCCAGATAATCTACCGGCACTAAATCGGGCCCCTGGCACGAATCGACCGACACTAAAAAGGGCCAAGTACTGTATTAGGAACCGTTTTGCCCTTGAATGTGACGATCAAGCCAGCCAATTCTCCGATCCGTGCCGAACTCTCCGAACATGACGGCGTGTTGTGTGATGTTTTCCTCCCGTGTGTGCGCTGGATGTTGGACTCGTCAGGCGCATGCATCCAATACCCCCCCTCCCCCCTTTTCTGGTGCTCCCCCCACCGCGACCCGAACTCGGATGCCAACAACAACAACAACGACCATGAACGACAACAACCGACCTGACTGTAGCCCGTCTTGCGTTTCAATCAGGCGTCGATGAAACCGCACGTGGACAACGAGTTCCTCCGTCGGCGAAAGGGGTTAGACTTCGCCGGGAGCTTTCGCGCCATGACCCTCTGGGAGATCGACTCCAATGTGGTGGTTCCCATGTGGGGCTACACGGATGCAGCGGTAATTTTCCAGCGATGCATTTAGTAGTCGGAGGGACCGAGCTGCTTGCTGTGTTGCTTCTCCACGGAACCTATGCGTAATTATTTGCTGCGAATCAAGTCAGAAACACCACGGATGGGTCCCTTTTTTGTCGGGATTTGGAAGAAAGTTTGTCCGACCCCACTGGTTCTTGATCACGCGTTTTGTTTTCTTGTGGTGATTTGTGGGAACATACGCGTCACGACTGGTAGGACCGTCGGAGAGCGACAACAGCAGTTCCGTTGGTGACCCATGTCCGCATTTGTGAAGATTCCGAATCCCCCTGCCCCGCCCCGCCCTCCCCCGATCACCTACCCTACAGAACCTCCGCCTCGAATGACAAACACCACCGAGACTACCCCCCCCTCGGCTGGCTTAGTTTGCAGTCACCGGCGNCCCCCCCCCCCTCACTACCACAACGACTTCCGGGCTTGAGTGCACTATGACAGTAGATTGTTCGAGCAGTAACCACATACCTAGGTAATACCGTGTTTTGAACCCCCTCTTTCGTGAACAATGTTCCGTCCTATCGAGGGTGCGTGGTCAAACACGAAGGCAAGCAAATCATTCTCCCTCCCTGATGACTGCCGGAACTCGCAGCACTACCACGGGGACGGCTCGAGCAGCCGTTACCTGGCGGACGTCCGGTGCCCTCTCCTGTGCATCAACGCGGAGGATGACCCCATGTGCCAGACCGCCTTGTTCCCTTTGGAAGAGGCAAGTCGGAACCCTTGGGTGATCTTCGTCATCACCAAGGCCGGCGGGCACATCGGCTTCGGAGAGGGTTTCAACCCCTGGGGAAGGCGAGTGCCATGACACGAAAGGTCCAGCCGAATTCTGTTGGGGTAGTGTCCAAAGTGGGCTTCATTAGGGCTGTAGCTCACCTTGTTTTCGTCAGTTCATCCTCCAAGAAGCAACTTGGTGAAGCCGATCGTTGAGGGCTCCCAAGAGTCCGTTTTTTTTTTTTTTTCGCGTATCGTCGCGGCCAGGAGCCGCAGCAGGGTTTTTTCTAGGGCACTTGTTTTTTTCACGAAGTTCGGCGTCTTCAATAGATCTCGGTCTGGAAGTGAAATGTGACAAAGACGAGAGGATGGAAACGTTCTTTCTCGCCGTGATTTTTTTTTTGCTATGAGCATTGTTTGACCAGCTTGCATGAACTATGTACCCCAGACAAAATACGTCACCACGGCGACATCGTCAACAACGAAAATGACAGGCAAAGCTGGGCGGACAGGTTAGTCACTCGGTATTTCGACGCGCTGACGGCGGAGCGGGCGAGGTGCGACGAGGAGGCGACCGCCGCCGCGTTCACCACCAGCAGCACGGTTCCGGTTCCAGCCGGCAGCGATCGGGCGGAGGGCACACGCGAAACCGCGAGAAGACCACTGCCCCGGCGGCGGTGGTGGCCTCGGCACGACTTTAAGGCCTTGCTGCCAGGGGTCGGCGTGCGTACGACACTCTCACGGTGGTGGGAAGTCGGCGGCTCAAACGGAGACCTTTGGTACTTCCCCCTGCTATCACACCCGCTGACGGAATCGGGCGTTTAGATGCGTCGTATTTTGTGCTTGGTTTAGTCCAACGGTTGAAGGCACGTAGCATGAAAATTTGGCTCAAGAGACGACTCGGAGGGCGGTAGCACCCTCCGGGAGAAGCGCTCCAAGTTGATGACTCGCCGTTGTCTGGCTGTTTTCTTCTGTGCGTGTGAAAATGTTTCGCTGTCAACGATACCGGATGCTTGCTGTCGGTACGGCGTCTCAAGCGCAAGCAGTCCCGTGGGTGTTGCAAGTTGAACGAAGCGTGCGTCGGCTCTGTTGCTGCGTGTCCACGACGCTGAAGGAGCGATTGATTGGTTGCGCTTGTGTTGAGGAATGAACGCAGTGGAGAAACGTTTCCCCAAAGCCTGATGGATAAGCCGGCGTCTTCGTTGTTGCCGTCATGATCATAATCAGGCGATGGTTGTCTTGCTCTGTGTGCCGTAGAAGGCCACGATCGAAGGAAGGTGGCGTGAGGTGTCTGCTTGCGCACGCGCGTATCCCGACTTTCTTGCGGTAGTACCCGATCGATTCCTGGTTATTATGCCTATAGGACGCGCTTTGTGGTACGAGTTTAGGACGTGGTGGAAGCTCGGAACTGCGTATCATTGAAATCAACGGGGTGGTGAAGGAAGCGGTGGAGGGGGTTCATTCGTTACAGGGCCTGTTTTCGTCGGTTCTGTTTTTGCGCCAGTCGGGCGAACGAGATAGCGAATCTCCCTACGATCGTGGATTTTCCTCTCGTCAGTGGTACACCGTACGTAGTGTATCGAGCCCAGTTGTCGATCGTCTCGCTCTTCCCAATGACGTTGCAGTGTGTCGAGGAAGGTGTGCTGACACAGGATTCACTTGTTGCTGCTGTTGTAGACCAGCAAGAGGGCAGGGCGTCTTCGGTTTCTTTACAATGTCGAGGAATTGCGCTGACGCATGATTCACTTGTTGCTTCTGTTGTAGCCCAGCAGGAACCAGAGTATGTCTGGTTTCGTTCGGTGCCCGGTCCCGTTGTCGGCGGGAAGCGTTGACTATTGCCATACCGACTTTCTCAGGAATGTTTTTGTTATTTTTGGTGATGAGCGTGAGGCCTCGCCTCGTAAGAGCAGCAGGAGCCACGTGCGTGAAGGGGACCACGAGCTGTCTCGTAGAATAAGCCGAGGTTGACACGAAAGCTCGACGTCGTTGAGACCCATGCGTTGGGAGTCAAGGTGTGTGTGTGTTTACAAGAGCCAGCAGGCATCGCGACCCTACAGCAGTTTGTTATTTAACCATTTCGATTTTGGATTGGGTCGAAGGCAGCGCTCTAGATGCTGGAGTCCGTAATTGCAACTGTGACCAACCGAAGTTCTTGGTCTATGGAGCAGCTCTAGTAGCTCTCGGATACGTGAGTGATAGTAACAGACGCAAAATTTTCGAAAAGATCAAAATCAGTCTTGGATGTCAGTTCCACGCATTTCTTCGGCAGTGGGTACTTGACGCAGCCGTTTTTTTTTTCTTTTGTGAGAAATCCCGCGAGCGTCATGGTTCAGGGTTGGCTGGGCGGGGGCTCTAGCCTACTCCCACACGTCTCGACGTCATTGCCGATACGACTTGGCGAGTTTGCAGCGCAGGGTTGCAACCGGGATGACCTCAGAGCGGCTTCGAATGCCTTTCGACCGTGGTATCGCACAATCTATCGAAGAGGGTAGCGCGAGATGATCACAAGCACACCCCCAGAGAGCGGTAATTGACGACGGCCACATCGAGATGCTGAATTTCTTCTTCTTGGTGCCAGCAAAAACCTTCGGAACTCCCCGTCCGGGACCGAATCAAGCTGGAGAAACGAAATGTTATTGGAAGCAATGTGGGTTGCCCATGATGGACACCCGCGGCAGGGTTAAGCGTGTTGGAAGTCGTCGAGACACTCTCCACCACCGTTCAGTCAAACGAGCGAAAAAAAATCAACAGTCCGGCGGGGGTCCTTTCCCTTCACCGCCGCAGAAAAAACAACTGTTAGAGCACCACCGCTGACCTGCATATTATTGTTCAACCGCCGCCAAATAATATAAGTCCGGTCACTTGTCAAGCCAAGTAACCCACATCCAAGGAACCGCCACCGTGCGACCGCAAAACAAATCACTGATTCCGGTGATCCTCGGGGAAGAACACCTGTCACCAATACTCCGGTTCCGCGTCATCCGCCGCGGAAGGAGGGACTTCAAATCATGCACCACCCGCCACAGCAGCAGCAGCAGCAGCAGCAGCAACAGCAGCAGCGGCATCAGGATAAGCACAAAAAAAAGGGACCCCCCCGAAACACCCCCGCAGTCTAGATAGACTTAAGTGGGTTGGCGCTGTTGGCAAAGCGCTGTAAAACACGCCACCTCAAACGATCGGCCATCCGTGATCGGTCCTGTGGGAACAATGCTCCGTCCTCTCGAGGACGCGTGGTCAATGGTCTAACCGCCGAGGCATGCAAAACATAAGAG